ACTCTTTCTAAGTTTTGATTGAAAGTGATTGATCTTTTGCTCAGAAAAGATTCTTTAAGAATGCGGATAGAAATCTTTAAAATGTCAAGTTTCCCTGTTCCCTGTCTTTACACAAGAAAAGAGCAGAAAGATGTTTGATCTCCATAAGAGGGGGAAAGAAACCAAACCCTTCCAAATGTATAACAATACTTTCGTGCAATAAAAGCAATTTCCAAATGGAAAGGGTTTGGATTGGCTCCTAATTGTCCAAGCAAATGTCCAGGCAGGGGGTTTTACTGATGGTGGTGGCAGGAGGGGGCCCTTTCTGATGGAAAACATCAGCAGAGAGCTTTGTTTTACTGCTTAGATGTAGCTGCCCACTCTCCTGATTGTACACCAACATGGTGAAGGGAAGGCGAATCAAGGACCAATGGTCTTGATACCGTGGAATTTAATAACAGAATTAGTGGCAGTCTCAGAAGCGCATGGACAGCCATGGAGAAAAGTGGTGCACTACGAAAGGGGGTTTCTTACCACAAACTCATTCTCAGGCTGATCCCTGTTTCCAGCTGCTCATGCTCCCAGCCAGGGGACCAGCAGCTTCCCCACCCATTCCGCTGGGAGCAGCGCTTTTGCTCCCGGCTCCAGCAGAGCTTCCTGTAAACTCATGGGTGGCACCTCCTACCTCCAATATCTAGTCTCTTATAAAATTGCTTTGACGCGAAGAATGCTCAGAAGAAGACAAAAAGTGACTTTGAGACACTTAACAGAGCTTCTGGTTTTAGAGCAATTTTCCTGCTTGCTTTTATTTTTGAACTTGAAAAAGCATGCCAGTTCTGTGCCTCTCCCCTAAATATCTCCAAGACAAGTCTCTGATCAGATCTGTCTAGATAGAAAAAGTGACCCAACGCATCTGTCAGGGGCTATCGGGAGACTGTGGCAATAGCAACTGCAGAAAGTGCCAGCCGGGAGCTTTAATCAGTACCAGGAAAGCTGCTATGGGAGCTGAGAAGTTTAAGTATTAACGTAAAATAAAACCTTAGCCAAGTACTGTTTGCTTCCCTTTTTTCTTCCTAGGATACAGCCCTGATCACCACTTTCTTTCTGTATTTGGTTTCTCTTCTTCGAATGCTGGGTTTTTCTCCAGGATCACTTTTTGTCCCTTAGTGTTTATTTTCTTTTTTTTTTTCCCCTTTTCTATTATTAGTTTCTTTGCAATGTGTTTGTTTGTTTCTGCCTTTTCCTATCTTCCCCTGTCCAGCTTTGTCTTCTCTCCCTTAACTACAGTCTGCTTCTCATCCCAGCTTTTTGGATATTTCTGTCTCCCTGTTTTCCTTTTTCTGAAATGAAAGTCCTACACGCCTTCCCAGAAGTGTCTGATTTTCAGAGGAGAAGCCAGGGAATTGAAGTGTCACCCTGCATACAGGCAGCTTGACAGCTCTGTAAAACCTTGTCACCTTTGAAATTCTCTTGAGGTGAGGGACACCTTTCTTTCCATTCTGGCAGCATGTGAAAAAATGATTAATAAATATATTCCCCTTAAGATGAGGAGCTTTTAGCGCCACTCCAGCAGACAAAGCGTAATAGCTTCATTCCAGCCTGTGCGACGCTAACAGCTGCATTTTGACAATGATGTTGGAGAGACGGGGTAACTATCAATTACTGTTTCTGAAACCTTATCCTGATCACTCTTAAAAATACCACTATGTAGATAAAATGAAGCTTTTACCATGCCTGCTGTTTTATAAAGTTCAGACTTTCATACTATGAAATACTACATTAGAAAAGCAGAAATCCTTTTAAGCGTCTTGCTCTGCCTCACAGTAGCTTGCTTCACGTTATCTATAACAAATTGTTACGTTTCTCCTGGCGCTTTGGTCTGGCTCAAACACAGTTTTATTGACAGGTGAGTAAAAGCATGTTCATTTTCCAGGGTAAAAGGAACTCGCATTGGCAAAAGAGGAAAACTGTGCTACAGCTAGTAAATGTCTAATATGTTTTTACAATGCTCATCTATAATATAATTCTGTTGAGTTTCATTTATCCTGTAGTTCGATTATTGTATCATTCTATAATTTGATTTTAAAAAAACCTTGTATGGTACAGAGATTATTGTACCTAGCAGAGCTAATTACTGATGCCAGCTTTGACTTCAGTGTAATTTAGTTGTCTCCAATTTCCAAATAGACATCATCTTATTAAAAGCACGTACAGAGACTCACCCTTACCGTTCCCTTAGAAGACAAGTGCTTCCTAGATCGGCTCCTGCCCGAGTGTTTCCTCTCCCTGTTGCAAACACAACTTCTTCTTCTCTAGAGCTGCTTCTGTGATCCTCGCTTGGTCGCTTCCCTTGGCACAGAGCCCGGCAGGACCTGGACGAGTGCTGAGCAGGGAGGACACTCATGGATCTCCCCACAGCTGTCCTTTGGCTGCCAGGGAGGTGCATCTCCTCTTTTTATACCTGTGCTCCCTCAGGAGTCCTGTGGGCTCCTACGCGTCAGAGAATCAATTATCCTGAATTTCAAAGGCTGTGTTTAGCATCCTCTTTTTGTGTGTGTGTGCCAGGACGCAGGCAGGGAGGTTGCGGGGAGATGGTTATGTCTGCAGGCGAGGGTCATTTGCGTGCTTTCTCTTTATCGTTCAAAAAGTGAAGAGCAAATAATAACGCTAAACTGGTAGAGTGGATGACAAATTTGCTTTGCAAGGTAAAATTCTCTTTACATTTGCAATTGCATTTTTTCCTTCTACTCCACAATGAGAGTTAACCATTAATACTTTCTCACACTGCCTGCTCAGGAGGGTTTATCTTTTTGCTGTTTTCTTTTACTTTGATTATCAGCCTTTTCCTCCTTCTCCTTTGTTACTCACACCTGCTAGCGTTAACGGGGCAGTTCGTGCTTCAGTCCCTCACAAACATCACAGCTTCACATGAAGCACACAAAGCAGCTGGAGAGCCCTGCTCTGTTCATGTGCTCTGGAAAAAGGCAAGGGTCTTCCCTGGGGCGCTGCATGCACTGGCAGCTGTTTTCATTCCTGGAACAAGGTTTATGAAAGGCCCATTAAAAAGAACACAGAGCCTTGGTGCCAAGAAGACCAGGACCATTCAGAGGAGTTAAAAATGAGGTGCCAGCATGAGCTCCACCCGTCAGATTTTTCATATTGACTTTATAATACTCAGAATTGATGGGTACCCAGACCTTCCTGTTTCGAGGCTTGTGTGGCTCGATGTTGGGAAGAAGTTTCAGCAGGTGAGATGACTCATGTCCGCTTGCTGCCAAATACCTTCACCCTGCACCAGAGTGCTCATCACAGCTATCAGTGGCAGAGGTGGATCGCAGGGAAGGGCAGTGCCTCTGGTGTGCACGTGAGTGCCCGTGTGTGCTGGGGCTCAAAAGCATCCAGAGCTGGTCTAACTCTCTGCTGTTGCCCCTTTTCTTCTTGCCAAGGTGAGAAACCAGCACTGTCATTATGGCTCACTTCTTAGGGAAGCAATATCCTCCTTCCAAATCACGGGCTCTCCGTAAGCAGTAACAAAACAGTTGGGAAGGCCCGAGTGATTTCAGCATGCCAGAAGACTCTGGCGTTAAGTCAGCATTGCTCTGTGCCTAGGCAGATGTGCGTCGTTGGGCTCTCCCTGCTTGGAGCGCTCCAAGGGCTCGCGTTCCCTTTGGTATCAAATCGGGACCCAGGCCACTTCGCAGAGAAATCATGAAAAATGACTGAACAGAACAAAGCAGGAGCTTGAGCTGACCTTGGACTGAGCAGCTGACCAAGGCCCTTCTAGTGGAATCCAGAAACAGAACAACAACATGAAGAGGAGAAAGAATTGCTGCCTCCCTCCAGCCATAAAAAGAAATGGCACCAGCCTGTTCATGGGGAGAGAATCTGCTGTGCAAATCAGGCAGGTGTATCATTTACTTGTGAACACTGGAGAAGGTGATTTCTGGGTAGTAGAGAGCAGGTTTTCCAAAATCCCTGT